AATTCACATCAAGGACAAACAGAGAAGTTATAGACGAGATTGTTCTCTATTATATGAAGTGAAAACTGGAACAAGATCGCACAGTTCTAGCGATTTGTAGTCGTCTGATGAGTTTTACTGAATTTTAGCACATTTTTGTACTTGAGAACATGTTTGATAGTTTGACTGTTTGCAAAAATTACACATGTACTTGAATCAGGTGTTATTTGTGCTAATTGTATTCAAAACAGTTGATACAGGAATTAATATGTATGATATACATATATATTCTGTATTGTAATATTCTCAATGACTTTTTTCAAACAATCAAACATGTTCTCAGTGGCTTTTAGATAAAGTTTTTTTCAATTCACTTCATTCTTTCCTAAAAGCGATCTCAGTTTCATGACGATATCTTGAGGTCATTAAATTAAATACTGCATAATTCGGGTAAAAATCTAAGTCTTAAAATTGTTCTTTTACTCAAGAGATAGAGGAGCACCTGGAGAATATGAAAAGCTGAAACATTTTTAATTACACAGTTATTACAGATACTATCCTAATTGGACTGTCAAAAATCAGAGACAAAAATGTGTTAAAATTCAGTAAAATTCATCAGACGACTACAAATCGCTAGAACTGTGCGATCTTGTTCCAGTTTTCACTTCATATAATAGAGAACAATCTCGTCTATAACTTCTCTGTTTGTCCCTGATGTGAATTCGGTCTCTGGAAGCCGATGGCATTTAAACTCTGACTTTTCCGTGTCGATTACACGGACTGATCATAATTATCCCATGAAAAATAGCTGAGTGACCATAATTACTCTAAGTGACTTTTTTTTCGAAAAACACACATTCTTGTAGTTTCTAATTAATTAATTAACGGTCAGTCCACATAGCATGCAATTCAAACAGGTGATAGAGCTTGAAATTCTTTACAAGATGATATAGTTTTTAATTATTTTCCTTGAAATCTCCCATTGAAAGCATAAATTTTTAGGAGCTGATTATAATTACCCCTAGGCACTCTATACAGTATACAAAAGTTCTATAATAGAGGAATACAGGAATAACGTAATTTGGAACTATATAAATATATATGCCAATATATGTATGTATCCACTATAAAATCAAAGGAACCCAAATACAACAAAATAAAATAAATCAGAATTTCACTGTGGCAGAACAGCAGAGCGGCTGAGGGACCGACGGACACTTCGAAGTGTGTGCAACATAATTGAAGGTTATTTCCCCATTGGATTTCAGTCGGTCCCCTGCCATTTCGGGTTTGTAACTGACAGGAAAAAATGTTTTCAAAATTTTAAGATCCACTAAAATATTTAATATTTACATACTCGACGACAAGCCATAAGCTATGTATATCAATGATCTCATTTTATGACGATAAAAGTATTCTTTACAACAATCTGCACAACTTCTTTTTATGTTTAATCAATATCAAAAAGTACGCAAACACACTCTTTTTGTGTTTATTATGATTTTAGCTTTTTATTGCATTCATCTAGATATATCAGACCAGAAAACTAACAGTGTCTAAAATCTTGAATTAAAATCTTTCGGTATTGTTTTCAAAATAATAATTTCAAAAATTTCGAACAACATCATATGTTTTCATAGATACACCGACATTTCCGTGAACAATAACGACGAACCGCCATTATGTCGACATAGACCATAAAAATTTCTTCCCGAGCTATATTAGGGACCAAAACATTTCCTATGGTCTATGTAGACATCCGCTCATGGACTATGTCGACATAGACCATAGGTGGCAAATTTTTCATACTACACAGTGAGTATTGCTAACCAACCTACTTTTCGAACTCACTCTCACAATGCTCTCACCCTCCCTACCTCCCACCACACATTGCCAGAAATACCCAATATGTACTATGAAAAATTTGCCACCTATGGTCTATGTCGACATAAGCTGATGGAAAAAATTTTCTGGTTCCATCAGGAAACTTTTTCAATTCCTAATATAGGTGTGCGAAAAAATTCCTATGGTCTATGTCGACATAATGACAGTTCTCAGTAATGTCGTGTCACGTTTTCATATACGCTTTGTGAACAGACAAACAAATTATTTATTTCATACGATCCTGATTAACATCAAGGGTAAGAACCCATAATCAATAATAAACATCACCACACAGTATTTCAGGACATTGATCCTCACTCGTTGTTAAATATTGAATAAATCGTTCTCGTCTAGTTGGATGTACCATTAAAGACAATAATGAGATACAAATACCTGATGGCAAATTTTGATTTATTTGATTTGGTTTTATGGAGAGAAGTGAACATGTATTATCCGATAGACGAACGAATCCATATTTTCCCCAACCATGGCCATACAGTCCAGGACCATCAAATGTTAAAGTTTGTATCTTATTAGAATTACAGTTAATGCTAATTTGTTCTCGATGTATTTCAAAACGAGAACTACCATAATCACCCACCAACAATGTTATTGTCATTTGTGTTCTTGATCTTGAATTTTCTAATCCAATAACAATTAGTTTAGCTGTATACTGATTTGGAGATTTAGAGATGCATTCATTTAGATGATAATAATATGAATTTAACAGTATATACTGTATTTGTGATAAAACCAATGGTTCAACAGATTGATTTTGTTTTGTCAGATTTTCCCATAGCTGTACAACTGAATTGGCTTTCATTTTTCGCAGTTGCATTGTTGTATCAATTAACTTCAATACGTCGTCTCCGTTGTCAGAAGAGGACAATTTATCACATTCAAGTTTCCAAAAATAAAGAAGTTTCCAACGACGTATTTGCAAACATTTAGAAAATTTTCTTCCACCACTAAATCGAAACAAATAGAGTTCTTTCCAAAATGAATCTTGTTTTAATATTGTATACCAATTTTTGCACACAAGTTTTAATGAATGAAAATCGATTGTATCAGTAATGAAACTTAATATATTGTACATAACTAATTCTGGTAACTCTTTAAATAGACGTTGATTTTCAAGTACAACTTGAATAGATGGAAGTTGAAGTAAAATATTTTGTTCATATTTTCTATTGTAGATATCAAGCCAGTTGTCGATGGTAAAATCAGCAAGCCAAAGTGGAGTATTTGTACAGATTTTTTCTAAACCGATTAGAATATCATTGTCGGATGACGATGATGCTAGAGCTAACTGACAAACAAATGAAATTTGTTCATCCTTCGACAATATCAGAAAGAAATCATTTCTTGTAAGTGTTGATTGTTCGTTCAATTTTATGCGAATATAGGGAGAAAAAGCATCGATTGAGAAAGAAAATCCATCCGTATTAGCTGGACGTTTTCCATGTAATATTTCATTATTATCAATGAATAACTTAATGAATGTCTGTTTTAGATCGAGATCGAATTGACATCCGTGTTCTTCTATTTCAAGTAATTGTCGATAATCATTTGCTGTTTTATTCCATTGGTGATGATAATAGAGCATATATCGTTTTAATAGTAGTAACAAACTAGAACAAGCAATTACACCGGGAATGTCACAGCGATTTTTAACGTATGATGACATCTTATTTGACCATTCTTTTGCATGATCGAGTAAAAATGTTGAATATGATGTAGATGATCGAGGAATCAGAAAATCAAATATTCGTTTATCGTTTAAAGTGCAATGGACAGATAGATCTAACTCATTCAATAATGGGATGATCATTGTTATTGTTTCTATATGTTTTTGATGCTGCGCTAACCATTGAAGTAAAAGATTTGCTGATAGAATTAAATCCCAGTCAGCATGAGGTTGATCGTTTACATCACGAAAATGTGAAAGATAACGACGAGCAGCATGAGAACCAATTAAAATAGCATTTTGATGACTAGAGGATGATTTATCGAGTTTTCGTAGAATTATTTTAATTTTTGATAATTTCGTTATTATAGACATTGTTGATGGTAACTGAAGTGATGTGATTTCTAATGCTGATTTTCGTTTAAATAATCGACGTATTGATTCCATCTAACATCAACTGCTTTTGTTTCTAAAGCCTTTTTAAAAATGTTTTTGTGATTGAGTTAATCCATACTTTTCAAAACGTAGAACAAAAAAAGGAATTCTCACTGTATATGCGTCCTATTTAAATGATTTTTCTACATGTTTTGTTCTCTAAAGGTTGTCGCGTTTTTTGTTTTTTTTTGACTTATATCTTGTGTAGTCATAGAAAGAGGAAGAAAGAGAAAAAGAAAAAAGCTAAAAAATAATAATGTAAGCTTTTTTTGAGTTAAACATGGTGACAGGCATGATTTTACCTGTTCATGTCAGTCAAGAGAATAAAAATACTTAATGAGACATTTTTCACTGTAAAAAATAAAATGTGCTCTGGGTGTGTGTTAGGCTGTACGTACGACCCAGGCGAATAAAAAGTATCAAGTATTGGGCAATCCTACCTAGATAACCCAATCCAATACCCAATATACCTAGATACAAGTAAAAAGAAAGTATTGAGTATTGGGCAATCCAAGATAGCTAACCCAATACAGTAGTCGATATACCTAGATAACCCTATATTTTACCCCATATATCTGGATGTTAGATTTATCACATGTTCAAGTAAGAAATCTTGTGAAGTATCTAGATATTTTGTTGTGAT